ATGAAGACGATGATATTTAAGACTATTATAATATAAATCCGATAAGTATATCAATCAATACAGCGCATAAATTAATATATGTCGAAGTGAAGTCGTTATACCTAAGAAATAAAGCGCAAGTTGTCCGCCCTAACAAATAATCCGGGGCAATTTCGCTATATTCCCATGGTACGTTACGGATGAATTGCAAGATTGGATTGCCGCGCTAGGATTTCGAGATATAATATAATTTCAATCAGTTAGTTAATAGAGAATATTTTATAGTTATTGTATGGGTATGTATAAATAACCTACACACGGGTTCATATTCCGTGCCGAAGGCACGGGATTTAAATATGAACCCGTGTGGTTATTCATATACCTATATAATAATTATCTTATTGCACGGTGTTATGACGTACAGTCCCGTGCCAATAAGTAAATGAAAAAAGCACGGATTGTCACAAAAGACTCGTGCAATAAGCAAGCCTCCGAATTGTACCTGACATCCATTTACAAGAATTGTACTCGACGAAACAGATCGCTTTGATGAAGAAGATGTAGACACACTCTTGGATAAAAAAGGACCTTGATCCAAAACTTCTCTTGCACATTTTACAATATGTTCAAATCTAACAGGACCAAGCGAAATTCCACCAAACCATCGCGTAACAATTACAGCCACATTTTTTGCGTCCAACGTTTTAAGAAGATTTAATAAACGTTCCCCAGCACGTTTCTCCCCATCATCATCACTTTCTGGTCAATGTTTACGAGAAATGACAGGTATATCGATGCATTAAACTACAATGTGAATTTGGTTCTACCACAAAATCCCGAAATCCATTTTTCTGAAAGAACATAATATCGACTAAATTGACCAGCATTATAACTAATGCCGGCTAACTTTGTCGGTATTAGGTCCTTTCGGGATTTTGTGGTAAAACCGTGAATTTTATACAGTCACCTCTCTCTAACCGCCTTAGGATAAACTGAACACTTAAAAATTCAGTAAATACGAACTTTAAAATTCTGATACATGTTAAATTGAATTTTTTAATGCCACTTTACTAATGAGAACCATAAATCCGTATAGAGAGAGTTGTCTGTATTTTATAACTAAATAAGTGAATATGGAATAAACCTTCATGTATGGTTCCATCAGAAGATTCTAATCG